TGACCAACAGTACAGATAGCACCATGTATCAAATTCCAGAGAGGTTGAAGGTATTTACTCTTATGGCAAAAGTTTCCTCTGGCAAAACTCAAGAGTCAAAGCAGAAGATTATGAGGTAATGTAGGATCAGATTCCTGGTCTAGAATTTGAGACGAGAGAAATGACAATGTCTTTAGTGCTTTTGGTGAGTAGCTCCCCGCTGCGCATCAAAGGTCAGGGCCTGTGAAGTGGGCAAGAAAAGCACATTTACCTCAGCAAGGTTAGTGCGACTGAACTAAAGCCTCTGACATCAGCTGACAAATCATTCGGGGCTTTATGTCGGAGCTCCAGGTTGAAAGATTACACTGGTCAGGTTTCAGTGGTCTTTGCTCTAAAATCTGTGGGAGTGAATCACACAGACATTCTGCTCCTCCTCTTTCTCCTCCTCCTTCCCCTCCTTCTCCTCCTCCTCCTCCTCATTGCATTTCATTTTTTTTCTTGCCATATTTTTTCACTGTGATTTTGCGTGTTTGAAACAGACATGGGCAGCTGTGCAGTAGAAAAGGACTGTGTGCCACCTTCCTGTTACCTTACAGCCCAGCCGCCAGAAGAAAATGTTGGCATTGTACATTTCTACAAACCACAAATATGTTACATGTATACATTTCATATGTATTATATCAATGTTTCTGAAGTCTTTGTCATCAAAAGGTGGAGGGGATGGCAGATGGCTTGTCACAGAGGCAAGACGCCTGCCAAGCTGCAAACCACTGCAGACCATGGTTCAAGATGAACAAAGAGCAAAGCGATTGTTTTTTATGACTCGTCACTGTGTTTTTAGCAGCTTTTTAGCCAACAAATGTGGGCGTTTTGTATCAAACCAGGATTGTGTTTCCACCAGGGACAGTCCCTTGAAAAACAGTTGTTTTTTACGAAGACATTGCTCTATTTCCAGTCGGATTGGTGCCACCAAAAGTGGGTATTTTAAGCCAAAACATGATCTTTTCCTAACCATAACCACATGTTTTTTTGTGCCTAAACATAACCACATGGTAACCACAGCAATGATGAAACTAAAGACACATTAAATTTCAACAAATGTGTTAAATATGTCTATTTTCAGAACTCCACATCCTTCACATGTGCCTATCTTTCAATCTTTGCTTTATCTTCTCACCATGAAACCAACACGCGGGAAGCACTTAGTATGTGTGAGGCTGAGCTCTATGTATTGTGAATAGTTCAGAAGAAGCCCTTAGGTTAGTGCGACACAATTTGGATCAGCTCCCATTCCTCTGACTCAGTGGATGTTTCTATAAAGCTGAAGAAAGTGTGTTGATATCAGCAGAAGGATCACTAGAGATTCATGAACTAACACTTTGACTGCACGCAATCCACGCTTCTCCAATATCTAGCTCAGTTCTTTGGAAATATTGTCTTAGGTTGACAGCATGTGAAGACGAGCACAAAGAGAAGAGGAATGACACATCTAGGCTGCTGCAGACACACCCTTTTTCCCCAGGAAGGGGCCCCTCTCTGGTCTTCCTGGCTTGGGGGCCAGTACTGTAGATGGAGGATGGGCAAGACAGAGAGACTTTGAATTAGGGAGACCTTTTACAATTACAATATCTGACAATATCTCAGAAGTACTACCAAAACATGATATGCATCCATCATTTGAAAAATTCAAATGATTGACAGCAGAAAGTTTAAAGAAATTCTGGTGCTTAAAAGAGAAAGATACTCTTTCAGATACTGATGGAAACACTCTGAAAACAGCAGAATTCAGAGTACCAATAGTGCAGGAATTTGGCATGAACAGCATTATAATCTTGAAACCTATTTTTGTTACACAATGCTGGAGTACAGTGCACAGAATGAATATTTATATGACAAATCTGCAATATCTGTATCCACTGAATTAGTTTTCTTTAGGGAATAACATAGAATAAACGACATAGGTATATATTATTATCTAAATGACACAAAGTTGAAGATATTAAAAAAATAAAATAAACAGCTTAAGATTTGGGGCTTTTGAGAAAACTTTTGGGGCTTGAGCCCCAGAGGCCACCCCTGCTCCGCCTCTGCCACTGGCCTTAAAAACAGTCTTTGCTGGACCAGAGTCTATTTTGATTGTGCTAACTTCTTTGCAATGGAATGGAACAAATGTAGATTTGCCTCCAAGTCTTACATTGGGATTTGCTGCAATTTCTAGTGGTCTCTGAGACAGATATTCAAAGGGGAGTACTGCTGTCTTTCTTGGAAATAGATTTGTGTGGAAGCCATTTTAGAGTCACAAGTGTTTTTGCAGCTCAGATCATACCATACTTTTACAAAAAAGAACTAACAGCTCAGGATGTAGCCTGTAATACAATATCAGCATGCAGTGTTAAAAAGTTAGTTTAGTATTGCACCAATTTAACACATCAAGATAAGTTTACCGGTCACAAGGAGTATGCCTCAGCCAGTCTGTAGCTCTGGGGAAGCTCGTAAATAGTCTGGGAAAATAACCCAGATGATGTCATCAGGTTATCAGGGGGTTATCTGAGCTTGGGCAGGGAGACTACAAATTTGTAAAGTAAAGTATACGTTATAAACTAAAGGCGAGGAGTTAAGATATGAGCTTTGTCCAAATTTTACACCACAGACCAATTCTAAGATTTTGAATCTACAGGGTGCTCTGGAAAAGTGAAGAAAAGAACTTAAGTACCAGTATTCAGATAAATTATAAATGGCTGGGTGGCTACAGAAAACAAATGGGAAAAATACATATGGCTCAACACTTGGAAAAATCTTAAGCTATCAGTTTTTTTTAAAAAAGTTGAATCAGCTGTGACATGCCAAAGTTGCATTTTGATTGACACTTGTTGGCACATGAAACATAATTGCCTTTTAGTAGAAAGAGATAAATGCACCTTGGTTTTTGCTTAATATAACTGCTAAATATTTTTAATAATTACTATGACATTCTGTGGGAATGGTTGGATCCAGTATTTTTTTTTACCTAGACCCACAGGCATAGATGGATTACTGAATGGGCCCAGGGGCCCACAGTGTCAGGGGGGCACCTGCAAAATGTCACTCAAATTAACACGTACTGACCAGGTAGAGACTCAAAATGACCAAAAAAGAGATACAAAAAGACCACAGCATCTGCCTCTAATGTGACATATAACATATGCGTCTGCAGCAGTTTCTAAACAATAACAATGGCAATAACACTCATTTACCATCCTTGTTATATGGCAGCTGATCTCGTTGTCTGCACAGAGGGTAAGGAGACCTTACAGTTTTCCCAATTTGTGCACATTTTTAGCCCCCATTTTTCTTTGAGTCAGCTGCTAACTGCTACTAAAATATTTTTTGTGTCTCCTTTGTGGGTTGGACACATAAGGCATTGTCCAAACATCACACCTGCGCCACCAATGATCCCGTCCTGCTAGCTATCCCTCCCATAAAGACCTGTTTTGGTGCTGATACTGCCTCTGATGACAGCTTCAAGGTGAGACAACTCTAGCCCCTTTTATACTGCCAGATTTTCGGTGAATGTTGGGCCATTCTGCCGGCAAGCTGCGAGCTTTTAGACACACAGAGCCAGATTGGCTAGTTGATCCGAGGTGCCCAATTTTCTGCCGCGTAGGGGTAAAGATATTGGCGGAACCTATTTGGTTTAAAAAGAATGAGGCACACTTCCGCAACGGGAGGGGCTGTTGATGACTTGTGGGAGGAGCTGTTGATGACGCCGCATGTGCGACCCACTGGCGGTGGATAAACAGGAAACAGCTGATAGCAGAAATGAGCAGCTAGTACTAGTAGGAAGAGGGAGACGCAAACCTGACAGACACTACAGTAAAGATGAGCAACTGGGGAGACAAAGAATTGCGCGCCCTCCTTGTCCTTGCAGATGAAGAGGCCATTAACCGTCAAATGACAGGACAGTGAAGGACAGGCCGACTTATGAGAGAACTGCCGAAGGACTGACCAGCTGCGGCTTCCCTCGGAGCAAGGGTGTTTGCGTCACATGCTGAGCTACATGTTTCACGCCCCCCATTGTCCCAAAAACAGGCGCATTCTGTATGAACAAAAGTAGGCAGGCAGCATTTTGCTGCTCTTCCCGATTTTGTTTTAATACTGCCAATGCTGAAAGAAGACTGATTGGGCTTTCCTGCAAATTTGCACAATTCCTATTTAAAAAGGGCTTCTGTCCCCCCATTCTGCATTTATACCTTTTATACAGAACGATGAGGCAGTACAACAGTGTGCAATTCCCGCCTTGAAAAGGCAGTGTAAAAGGGGCTAGTCAGAGACACAAAATGTCCATAAAAACGTTCAAAATGATCCCAAAGAGTAACAAAATGACTACAAAGAGATGCAAAACAACAAGAAAAAAGAGGTAAAACCACCACAAAGTCTGTGTCTTGCTCCTTAGAGAGGTGGTGGGGCCTTTTGCATATCTGTGCCCAGGGGCCCATTGTGTTATAATCAGCCCATGTCTGTAGGGACTAAAAGTTAGACCTATCATTAAGTGCGCTGCATCAGTTTTAACCATTCTTTTTAAAATCTTTCTCTTCCAGGTTTCCAGTTTTCATGTAAGTGCAATATTAAATCACTGGCATCATTCTAATGGTTCAAATCAAATGTGAGCTACACTTTGTTCTTTGCTTTTGTGTTGGCCCACATTTTATTATGTTTAAAAGACAACGTTTGTGGTTTATATAGCGGTTTATTTGCCAAAATACACTCCACTATGATTTCATTAGGCTTTAAAAGGAAAACTTGTGTCACCTGTCTAATGGCTGGTAAATGACATAGAGTACTGGAGAAACACGAGCTTTATTTGGGACAAGTAGTTCCTCGGCACTGCTACCAAGGGTCAAACGGGGGGAATGTTTTTGAACCGGAATTCATTCATTTGAGGTGAAAGTTGGACTGTAGTTGTACTGTGTCTTCTTCCTCTCGTTTCAGCGTATTGAGAGAGTCTGTCAGCGGCTCTGTTGACATGCAAATTGGATAGAGAGGGAGGCGGCAGCGGCGGCGGGGAGGGCGACAGAAGCGACCGTGTGTTTTCACTTTGTAGTTCCCTCTCTAACAACGTGCGCTCACGAGACCGTCGGAACTAGCTAACACCGTCTCCGTCTGAACAGACACCTGTGTGACTATTTCTCTTCGAGGTAAGTGTCCTTCATCAATGCTGCTCATTTTTCGTGTTTTCCTCTGAAATATCAGGGTTTACACGGCTTGTTTTTGTACTGCGTAACGTTACAGTGAGAGGAGGTGACGAGCTCTATGTTGGGACTCCGCTGACTTGAATTACAGTCCGACCTCGACAGAAATCACTGCAATATTTACATAATGTAAGCTAGTTAGCTTCCACAGTAACTTTTATTTAACTTTTAGCTTCATGTTAGCTTGTTCTGGTAAATTTACTGCGAACTTAAAATAAATGTTTTTGTTATTATAGTCGCTAAACCACTGTTTCTGAAGTACCTCGTCGTATTCCCCTTACTCCAAGTTAACATAATAACGTTTATATATCCTTTACAGCCTGGCTGTAGCTAAATGCTAAGCTTATAGTCACTTGTATTCACTTAAACCATTCCTTTTAAACTTGGGGTGGGCGTCTCTGTGACCTATACGGTTAGAAATCCCTGTAATCCTTATTGGGTTTGTCATACCTGTTATATTACGTTGTCATGTTTTAGACAAGGTAAGGCAAATTTAATTATATAGCACATTTAATACCCAAAGGCAACCCAAAGTGCGTTACAGCTTACACTGGTAAAAGCGCAAGATACAAATGATAAAAATCATAAAAGCAAGCAATCAAGGACACATAGAATAGGAACAACAGGCAAAAGCATACAGAGGAAAAACACACAAAAACACACAACAGGACTATCAAAAGTCCATAGAATGAAAAACAAACAAACAAACAAAAAAAATGATTTAAAGAGAATTAATCAAAAGCAATGGTGAAAAGATGGGTCTTCAGCTTGGATTTTAAAGTGCTCCCCACTGTCTTAAAGAACCTTCACCATGTGTAGTTTTTACTCTGGGAATAACCAGTAATCCAGGACCTGAGAGATCTGTGAGGTTTATACAGGGTCAGGAGATCTGATAAGTATTTTGAATCCAAACCAGTTAGTGAATTATGGTCAAGCAGAAACTGCAGCCAGTGTAGTGATGTGAGAACTGGAGTTACATGCTGAGCCTTGCTGATCCTTGTTACAACCCTGGCAGTTGCATCCTGGATCAGCTGAAGCTGTCTGATTGCTATCTCAGGCAGACCTGAGAACGGTCCATTGCTATAGTCCAGTCTGCTAGTGATGAAAGCATGAACAAGTTTCTCTAGATAGTGGTTAGACATCAAGTCACTGAATCTTTTGATATTTTAAAGATGGGAGAAGGCTGATTTTGTGATTGATATAATGTGACTACTGAAATGAAGGTCTGAATCCAGGTTAAGATAAGATTTAGTTAAAATCTGAGTTGACATGCCTTCTCAGACATCACTTAAGGAATCTACTGTATTTAAATGTACTTGCTGCTCACTATTTAATACCCTTGCCAAGACATCCCCTCTGTTATCTCATTATAGTAACATAATTCCCCAGTAGGGAAATGCTGATGTTACAGCATAATATTCTTACAAAATGCATCACTGTTTTTAAGAGCTTTGTTATGGACTCTGATGGGCTCAGTGCAACCAAGTTTATATGAAAGATGCCTGAAAACAAGATGAAGTGAAGCAATTAAAAATGAATCAGGACACTGGGTGCTGTATCTGATGTAAATTAGGCTACAACTTCTGAAAAAATAAAAATGTGAAATGAAATAGGCTTAAGTGAAATCTCCTCTGCAGCGTGCAACTTAGCCTCAGGCTTAACCTAAATATTTAAGTCTATAAGGGTTCAAATTGAGGGTATTTAGCAGTTTAAGATATGAGCTCATTAGGGAAGGCCGGTCAGTAATGTGTTATAATGATAATACCTCAGCACAATTCAGCAACCTACACCCAGAGGACATAAGAAGTGGTTGTTATGAGCTCATAGTAACCTTGATGAAGTGCACTTTTATTTGAATGAGATTTGTTTATGAGGGTTCAGTGTCTTCAGTGTCAGGGGAGGTCAGGGAGCCTGAAGGGATATCCACAAAAATGAGGACTCTTTTCTTGTTAGATTGAGTTCCTCCACTAGAAATGAACCAAGTAAGATAATGCAAAACTTCAGTTTTCACCTTGTTTTCTGACTCCTGTAATATTGACTGACAAAAACACCTCCTTGCCTGGTAAATGCCCGTATCGTTCAACATCTTTTCTGTTGTTAATTCGGAGTCTTTAAACTTGTCTGAATTAAGGGTACACCATAAAGTGACTACTGTGAAGCATTGTCTTCAAGAGTGGGACCCTGACTTTTAGCAATGCACCAGTAAAGGGGGGAAAGAGGACTTCTAGAAAGTTAACAATGTAATATAAACGATGTTGGCCTCAAATTCAGTCCAGACTGGATCTGCAGAGGATTTTTTCCGGATTCTTTTATTTATTTATTTTTTAAGGAAATGCACTTTATGCCTTTATCAGGCCTCAAAGATAGATACGGTATGTTTGTGAGAAACAGTTAATGCAACCATAATTTGGAGAAGAAACCCTACATGTTACCCCTAACTCTGATTTCATCATCAGTCAGGGTGTAAACCACGAGTTTTATCATGATTTGCAGATTCCTTGGACAATGATACAATATTTACCGATGTAAAGGTGTACCTTAAAAATTATGACTTGTATCAATGCTTTCACTTTGCATTGATAATATTGGATTGTTGTTCATTAAATTGATGTACTGATCCAGACTGATATATAGTTTCACCTCAAACCATCAAGATTTTTTCGTCAGACTTGACAAAGTTCCAGGGGTGGGGGAAAATATCGATACAGCATTGTATCATGATATTTTTGTGTGGCAATATCGTATTGTCACACAGTGCCAGGTATAGGTTTTTTTTAATAGAAATTATTCATTCATTATGCAAATACAAATTAAACTTGGTAGCCTACTCGAATAATACAGTATAATCAATTGTGTGAGATGAACAGACTGAAAATGTATCTAATTAGATGAAACAGATGTTGACAAAGTTTTCCTTTGGGACAAAACTTACAGTTGAAAAAAGGTAACATATCACAACATATTTAAAATCACAGTAATATTGTATCATGACTTAAGTATCGTGATAATATGGTATCATGGATGTGGTGATTCGCACCCCTACAAAGTTCCTCCAGAGTCTACTTTATAGGCTAACATACAACTGTTACAGACTTATATCCAAACACATGTATAAAGTTTTCTACTTTGTACAACTTTTCAGAGGAATAACACTCATTTTGAGTAAATTGACTTTGATATGTAGAGAAAGTCCGTGTAGTGCCCCTTTTAAAGCAGAGGTACCATAATGTAAAGGGTATGACATGAACTAAATACCTGCATACAACTGTAGTCAGTAACCTACTCAGTGCATGGAGCACCAGTTTAATTGAATTAGTCATATTGCCTTCAAGACTCATAGTACATAATTGACTCACAGAAGTAGGCATATAACCATTTATTAAATTTTACAAGCTGCATAGTAATGCATAGTTTGGTTCTGAACTGAACATAAAAGTGAAAAAGCGACAGAACTTACTGCAATGATAGAAGTGGCTCTGTGAAATGATGACGTTAGGCCCGGGTGTCAAAGAGCTATTGAATTCATGTGAGATTAAGTTACACTGATGATTCATTCATTTTCCCGGATTCCTAGTCATCCAGCTTTGCTGTTTGGTAAAAGCTGGTTTACAGTTTCCAAATCTGTGATTTGATACAAGCAGGAATAGATGGCCTTCCATGGACTGAGACCATTTTACAAATACCTGTTTTTATAAAAAAAAAAACCTTTAAAAACTTTGGACAGTATGAATCGCAGATGGAAGCTTTGAACCTGAATACAGCGACATGTAGTCTTGCTGTGTGTGCTCAGTGTGAAGAACTTGAATGCACCCACGCTGCCTTACCCGTCTGTCCGTCTGCTCACGTCCCCAGGGAGCTGATTAGCACGCCACAGTGCTGACGAGGTCAGAGGTCACCAGGTGTATAATGGGCACATAATAAGCCTTAATGGGACACAGGGTGGGGGGGAGGGGGTATTTTACAGGCTCCAGAAACTAGACACTGTATGAGAGACAATTATTAGATTTCTCTGTCAGATGGTGAGATGATGCCTATTGTGAGCATTTGTTGTCAAGTGCATGTAAACAGATCTACTCATTCCCATGATGCTTTGTGAGTGAAAATCAATGTGAATAATGTCACATTAGTTTTTGCAGCGCCTTTTGACCAACCATTATTCTATATTAAATTATGATATTAATGCTGTGTTTTAAGGAGATGATATCACTGTGGAATGAGATTTACACATTAGAATTTTAAACCCAGCCCCAGGTGGTACTATAATAGGATAGATCCTGGGATTAGCACACTGTTTGTCATAGCACTGCTTCCTAGTGAGGCACTGGAGGTGCAAGTGAATAGCTCTGTGGCATTAGAAAAGGAGCTTTCTTTGGTCTTTAGCCTTGAAGGGGTTCTAAATCCCACTTAACCCTTTATTGGTAGCTTGAAACAATGAACTCTAGGGCCATGCACAAACCCTCGCTCTTTCTCAGACACTGCATCTGCTGTCATTAAGTTCTCCCCGAGCAGAGGATTTAAGAAGTGGGGGAAATGTTGGTGTATGGTCGCTTTTTTTGAAGAGCAATGTGAAAAGAGACAAAAGGCTGGTGCAGCGGGGAGGGGGGGGGGGCTTGTGCTCTGCCCCACAGCTGACACTCAGCTCTCTCCAGCTGGAGATGAGGCACCATGGCCAGCTACATCTCCTCCTGCTTGTTATGTTTTGGTGTATGTATGTGCAGCAGGTGAATGCTTTCTTTCTGTCTGTGGGAGTCAATGTAGATGTACATGAAATAATAACTCCAGTTGATTTCTGCTTGGATGTTATTTTCATAATTTTGGGCATCATATTTATTAGTTCCTGTATGATAACAATGAACTTGTCAAGTTAATTGTTAAGATCTGAGAAGACAGCAAAAGTAGGTTACAACCACACTAATACATTTTTGCTTTAAAACTCATCACCCTGG